GAAAGAAAAGTTAATATTAGTTTTGTTTGAATAAATAAAAAAGAAAAAGAAAAAAAATAATGTTTTTATTTAATTAAATGATTTATGAAAAATAAAATAAAAAATAAATTTTTAAAATTTATTAATTAAATAAATAATTAAAATAAAATATTTATATATATTTAGTTTTAAAAAAAATTAAAAACAAAAATAAATTAAAAAATATAATCTATTTTAATTCCTCCAAACCAAAAATTAAAATTTAAAGAGAGAAGAGAGCTCATCCCTTCCATTTTCCTGCTTCTTATTAAAATTCTCTATTCAAACAAAAGAAAAAAACCTCTCTTCCCCTCACTTTCCTCTTCTTCTCCTTTAATTTTCTCAAACCAAACAGAGCTTAAAATTGTAGCAGTTCAAAATAGAAAAAAATAAAGATATCAAAACATTGCCAAACGAATTATGAAGGACCCAATCAATCACAATTCCAAGAAAGAATTAATCTTGGATAATAATTTCAAACAAGCAACATTCTTTAGAAAATCAAACTCACCAAAACAAGAGCCTAGATCATGAATCACAAGAACTCTCCAACACAGTGCCAGGTCCATGGATATCCTTATAGAGGCAAACTTAGGGTGCGTCGTAGCCAATGGACTTCCCTGTCCACCTCCCTTCATCAGAGCTGCTGGCATCCCAAACTGAAGCATACAAAATAGAAAACAATTAGCTTCTCAGGAAATGCCTCCCCTTCCTTACTCTATGCTCTTCTCAACCATTCAATCTGGTGCGGAACTCACATGATGACACAGTCGTGAAACCCATCACGGCAATCGAACCCCAGATCATGAATCTCCTCCCTGCTGCCTGTTCCTGCCCGTACAGAAAGCGGGTGGTGGAGCGCCACCTGGCTCCGCCTCTGTGATTGCACGTGAGGGCGATGGAATTGGCGACCGGGCAGTGAGTGAAGGCCTCCGGAGGGTAATCTATGTCCATCTGTTTGATGGGTTGGATTTGGTGCAGAGCTAGATCCACCATTGGCAGAGCAACAATTGCTCTGGAATAGGATAAACTTGTAACCAGACAGGTATTGATTTACTCCATGATCAGGACAACTTAGTCCCCGCGCCGAACAAGAATAGATTTACCCCTGGTTAGAGTGCATCCAAAGTTCCAAACCCCTGACGAAACAGAACGAATATCTTTTAGCAGAGCCAATAGCAAGCAGCAAGCTCGACCCCCATCAACAAGTGTTGGCCCTGTGACTGTGAGGAGGATAATGGTAGCATACGGGGGAATTTCTTCTCTTAGTCTCAGTCCTAGTCCTTGCTTTTCTTCTTTGCCTTATCTTCGTCGGCGCTGCTTCTCCACTCGCCGGACGTTTGCCCTCAGTAAGCAATATCTCTTGTTTATCTTGATTTGTGGAAAGTTTTCATCTTTTAAATTTCGGTTTAAAGGGACTTGATTTGGAATTAGTGGATAAAGCTTTAGTGTTGGTTATGTTATTACAGTGGCAGGATTAGGTGATGATCCTGTCCGAGATTGGATTCTGTCGGAAGGAAAAGCAAGCAAGATTACAAGGATTAGTCCTGTTGGTGGTGGTTGCATTAACCGTGCAAGTCGTTACGACACTGATGCTGGTTCTTTCTTTGTTAAAACAAACAGGTAATACTAATAATGTGCAATGTTTGAAAATTTTCATGTATTAAATAGCCCTCCATGGTTAACTTTTTTCTTTTATTTCTCAATCAATTCTTGTATACAAAAAGACAAATTTTACATGTTGGAAAATCTGAATAGGAATATTGGGCCATCAATGTTTGAGGGGGAGGCTCTTGGATTAGATGCCATGTACAAAACTAGAACGATTCGTGTGCCTCAGCCATTTAAGGTGATTTTTTTTTTTTTTTTTTGGTTGGGGGGCTCTGAATCTCTTTAGTATTGATTTTTTTGAGTCTTTGAAATAGTGGTAAATAAGTGTGTTTCCTAAACATTGTAGGTTGGATCCTTGCCAACAGGTGGATCATACATCATTATGGAGTTTGTTGAGTTTGGTGCATCTAGAAGCAATCAGGTGAGGAAGAGAGCATTTGCGTTTTAAACTAGTGATGGCAACACAAATTTGTTGTTTGATTGTCTAACTCTTATAAATTCTCAGTCTGTGTTAGGAAGAAAGCTAGCTGAAATGCATAAAGCTGGGAAATCAGAAAAGGGATTTGGTTTTGATGTAGAGAACACCATTGGCAGGTACAATATTTTGGGGCCTTATCTTCCTCTCTACCCTTATTGATTCCATTTTATTGTGATTCTGCTTTCCATGTTAACTATCTCACATTTGTGGTTGTTTTGAGGATGTTATGATTGTTGTTATACAGAGAACTTGTCTGAGTTTTAACGAGTTTGTATGCTTGCCTTTGTAGTACTCCACAGATAAACACTTGGTCATCAGATTGGATTCAATTTTATGGAGAGCATAGATTAGGTTACCAGCTGAAGTTGGCACAAAAACAATATGGTGATTCAACCATTTACCAAAAAGGTGATTTTGTACTTTCTGCTTCTTCCACGATTATTCACTTTTAATATGATCACAAATAACTTTTAATATGTAAAGGTATTGAATTCAGCTGAATTTTTTTCAAAAGGAGATAGCATTTGGAGCTGTGGCAGACGTTAACTTATGTTGTATTAGAAGTATGCGATACATGTATCATGTATTTCAAAATGATGGTTTGCATGATTTTAGTGCTGGTGTGAGAGGATGTCTTGCTTCTTCATATTTCTTCATTAGGTAGTTGCATTTCGGATGCAAGATTTTTGTTTCCCATTCATCCCAACAAAGTTGAACAGTGTATTAATTTCAAATGCTTATATAAGACATTGTAACAGGACAGAGACTGATACAGAAGATAGCCCCTCTCTTTGAGAACATTGTAATAGAGCCATGCTTGCTACATGGAGATTTATGGAGTGGGAATATCACCTACGACAAGAATGGAGAGCCTGTTATACTTGACCCTGCATGTTACTGTGAGTCTCTCTGGCTTTGCCATATCATTCTATGGAAGGGGCAGCCAACAATATGTATCTTCCCTTTTCATATAGTTAGCACCTAGTTTGTTTTGTTGGTTTGTGCATAAATTTCTCATGGTCTGTAACTTCAATAAAAAGCTCAATCAGGGTCATGAGTCTGGAAGTTGAATATGCTCATGTTTTCAGTATGAAAACATCTAGCAATGGTTGGATAATCATTTTTAGGAGTGGTAGAAGAAGTGAAGAACGCCCTAACCTCTGCTAGAATAGAAAATGAGTACGATGACTAAAATTACAAAAAAAAAAAGGGGGAAGGGGGAAGAAGACGGAAAGATCCTGTGAACAGTTGCATGGTCATCTTTGGGATGTCAGTTGGAACCTCTATTGTATATATCTTAGATACATTGAATTGATATTTTGAAACGACTGGTGGGAACTCTAATTCACCTGATCAAAATCACTTATAGATGGACACAGTGAAGCAGAATTTGGAATGTCATGGTGTGCTGGCTTCGGAGGATCTTTTTACAATTCCTACTTTGAGGTATCAACCTAATCCAAATATGCAGCTGAAACTTAGATCCAAACTAATTGATCACTGTCTTTAAGTTTTGACTATGCAGAGTTACAAAATCATTTTGATCTTAGCTAGGGAGCGTAATCTTATCAGAACAAACCTGAATAATTTCTCATGTTGTTTGTCTTTATAACCAGGTGATGCCTAAACAGCCAGGCTTTGAGAAGAGGAGAGATCTCTATCTGTTGTATCATTACTTGAATCATTACAATCTCTTTGGCTCTGGTTATCGCTCCTCCGCCATGTCTATAATAGATGACTATCTGAGGATGCTCAATGCATAGGTGCTAAACTTTAAAAAAAACTCTTATGAACTTGTTAATTTTGTGAAATATAATTCTATTTACCCATCAATTCTCACCCTGTAAGCCAACTTGGCAGTCTCTTTCCCATGGAAATAAGAAAGATTCTAAGTGGATAAAGGGATGAGAAATGATTTTTTTTTTTCATCTAGCTAGCTAGAAAAACACTTAAATAAAAACAAAAAAGTGAAAATCAAAAGCATTAAAAATATTAAGACGCTCAATTCTAAACACATAATAAATGAGGCTCAATTCTAAACACATAATAAATGAGACTTAGGTGGATTTTTTGTTATATTTTACTCATCGACATTCTTTTAATATCAAAATGTCATAAATTTTTACTTTCTTGCTTGAGTGGTTTAGTGAGTTTAGGTCCACTATGGTCATGAAATCATTACTTAGGTAATGGATCAATTAAGGCCAATCAAAATTGGGCCATTTGGTTGGGCTATCATTGAATTTTTTACTGGATTGAAATCATTCATCCCACATTCAATCAAGGCGCAATTCACTTCTATATAGAACCTTCTAGAAAAGTACATCTATAACCATCATTCTCATCTACTTACTAATTTATTATTAACTCAGAAATCAAAGGTTTCTTTTTGTTTATTCAATGAAGATGAGACTTGAAAAGCTTTTCATTTTGTTCGGAGAGTCAGGCAACATTTTGGGCATGATTTTAGGGATCTGCTAAAGAGCCCAGACACAAGAATAACATACATCCTAAGCCAAACGTAAATCCGTCCTTAGAATCCCCAAACTCCTGTTTCCCAGGAGGGAGTTGTTCCAATACAAGTTTCCATAAGAGACAGGGAGAAGATGGACAACAACATCACCATGGCAGATGCGCCACAACCACAGCAATCGGTGGCGCTGTTGGAGCTAGTAGCTGCTCTAGAACATGCAACTCTCATGGCAAAACAACTTCCGGCCACCGCAGACCAGACCCACCTCTTCCAAATTTACTCCTCTCTCCAGGTAGCCCACCACCATCTCTCCTTCCTCTCCAATGCCCAATTCCCTACTCTTTCACATCAGCTTCCTCCTGCTCCAGAGAACTCCCTCTCGTCTGCCACTGGAGCAGCCAATGACCGTGGTGGCGAGCCAATGCAAGTAGGTGACGAGAACGACGCGGAGGCTGAGGAGAATTCGAAGACATCAATCGACAGGGTCGAGGAGAGGATGAGGGAGTGCTTCATCAAGAACAAGAGAGCTAAGAGGCCGCTGTCACCATCATCGGCCACCGTTGCAGAGGAGAGGAGGGTGGGTGAAGATGGGCATTTGAGGGCCGTAAAGGGTTTTGATCCTCATGGCGATACGCTGAGGGCTTTGGATCTTATCTACCAGTTTCATGGATAAATAGGACCTGGCAGAAACAGGACCGAAACAGGGGATTCTAAAAGGTGTAAGTTTTTACAAAACATTCTAGGTCAATTTGGCCTAATTGCCCTGTTAATTGTAAGGATGTTTTCTTTTTCCTTACTCTGCAGAACTATTAATTGCCAGGAAGCAGA